CTATCTATCTCACACACACCACACAAATAAAATAAAAAACTGAAAAGAAATGACAGAGTACCTTTTATGAACATTTCGCTATTGACAGAGCCAATTTAACTGCTGAAAGCAACACTTTTGTTAACAGCCAATTCTAGTAACATGGTAGTATGTATCATCATATTGTGCATTAGAGTGAATGGTTACTTTGGCTAGCTAAGAACTAAAAGAGTCCTTCTCACATGAAATTCTTTAGGATTAGAAGGTTTGGAATTTAAGTATTCACACTAATGAACATATGTCGTGATGAAAATATTGTTTTTCCCACTCAACATATAACGTAGATTACAACCTGATGTTACTGTAAATGTGTGTTATTTTAATCTTTTCCCTGCAGAAAAAAAAAAAAAAGATAATGTTCAATTTGGACAATAAAACTCCACTGATTCTGGAGGTTTTCCATATGTTCCATGTTTGGCTGTGTAGTAATGGAACACATAATTCAAAAAACTTCTAAAATTATGGTAAAATTAAAAACATTAAAAAAACACTGGCACGTGATGTGCCATTTTTCTAACATTCTAATCACATGATCATACTGTCTAAAAAGACATACATCTTCTTAGAAGGCTATCAAATCAAATATGGCACTTGTACTTAGGACATTAAAGCTTCTGAGATTTGCTTCTTTTTAAATAGGGAAGGAAAAACAGAACAGCTGCAAAGTTCACTTAGATGAAATTGGGAGATGACAGTAAGCCTTTCCTATTAAAAATATAAATAAATGAAGAAAAAAAAGCCAATTTGGATATCCAAGGCGCAGTTAAAGAAAAAGACCAAATAGTCTTTAACAGTATTTGTGAATAAAGGCACATTAACAAACACATAAAAGTATATATGTAGCTTAGGCTTAGGTAAATGTAATAACTATTCTAATCACCCAAGCTCCCCAACCCCCCCAAAAACCCACAGAAAAATGAATATGGAGGGAACTGTAGCAAACCATCAACTGCAAGAACATGACTCATTTAATTGTCACTTTGCAGACAAAAAAACAAATCCAGATTAGGAATGACGGAAAAAGAAAAGGCTTACTGTCTGTTCAAAATAGACATGGCAAAACAGCCAATACAAATGTATGAATTATACCAAATTATCGCATTTAGGCAGTTCATCTACAAATTTATACAATTATTTACAATGGTGCTCTTATAAAAACAAAAAGGTAGCACTTCCTAGGAGATTCTCAAAATTATTTTTTTTTTCTTTTAAATGTTTTTTTTTTTTTTAAATTCCCTTGTCAGAAAAGCCAACTTACATTAGAATATACTTACTACAAGACAACACAACTAAAAATATATAATAAACTTATACAAGTACAAAATTCTGAGGTAATTCTGGTTTGAGGTGGTCTATGGTCATGACATTTTTGAATGTTATCTACTTTTTCTTTTGTAATTGAACTCCATCATGTATTGGATAAAACACAATGTGTAAATTGCGCAGTCACCCAACACTTGAGGAGGTCTACCTTGGAAGCCACAAAAATTGAATGTATTTGAAAAAAACAAAACAAACAAAAAAAAACATTGCTTGTTTTGCAGATGAAAATGTATCCAAGTATTGAATCAGCAGCATCAGAAACATTCACTGACTTGAGCAAGGTTTATGGCAAATCTAGTGGGATTTGAATATGCACCAAGCTAGGTTTTAAATTCCGAGGTACAGAGAAGGAATACCTTAGAGCAACAGTAATGCAGGTAAATAGGATGTTTTCATGCATCACTTTAACAGATTGTTTTTGTTTAAAGCTTATAATGGTTGCTAAGCCCATGACCCGTTGATATTGGTGTGGAGTCACCTGGTTACCTAACAAGGCAGCTGACATTTCCTGAACATTTAAAAATACATTTCCAGTTTACTGGTGTAATAAATTGCCTATATGCACTCTTTAGACCAGGTCTGCGCAACCTAAAACTATGGAGATGTAATTGTTCCAGTACATCCTGCCAGTCAACAGTTTGGACATGAACATTCTCCAAAGCCAAAGGACTGCAAGATCATCATTCTTAGGTTATACCACGCCATGAGACTATTTAGGCCTTCCTTTCTCTGCCCTGGTTTAGTATGGCAATGTTCTGCACTGAAAAAGCATCCTTCCCCTTTTAAATAGGTTTACCTGAGAAGTAGCTTCATAGCAATAAACCATTGGCCAAATGCTGCAATGTGCAACCACCATCTGCCCTGCCCGCACAAAGAACCTCTGAAATATTTAGCTCTCAAAATGAGAGAACATTCTGTTTTGAGTTTCTCTACATGTTACAAAGACACCCGTTAGATCCGTAAAAGACACAACAGACAATTTTTGGAGAGCTAGGTCCAGAATAGAAGGTGATCACGGTTGTTGAGAGGAAATCTTGTTTGTGGAAGGTGTTTCTTATGTAACAGTCTTTAGCTTACTACAAAGTCTGCAGCATTTTGTAGGTGGTCTCCAATGGGTCCTCTTCTGAGAACCTCACACTTTAAGAGAAACCAACATTGTATTACCTAAAAAAGGAGTTTGTTGAGGTTCTGAAGTACCTTCACCTTTTTGCATTCATAAGTCGGCACCTGAATGCTTGCTGAGATGTTTGTTGTTTTTTTTTCTGTTTTTGATTTTTTTTTAATATTCATATATTTATATATATGTACAATAGAACAACGTGCTGGTAAAATTGATCCAACCCATCCCCGCGAGAAACAAAATTAAAAAAAAAAAATTCCAACACAAACCCATAATAATAAAAAAAAGTCAAGTTAAAATAGCAGCTGCATTCATGTGTATGTGTGTAGGTGCATTTTTTCCTTTTTTTTTTATAGATTTATATAGATTTTTTTCATAGATTTTTCTGCTGTTTTGAATTTTGAGTCTGGAAAGACAAAAGTAACAAATGACTCAGATACTGGACTCTTTGGGCGGCAAGTCCACATTGGTGACAGATGTAACAATGGATACAAGGCAGTCCGAGGTAGTGCCATTCACTGATTTGCGGACCTGAGAAATGCGTTCCTCCACACAGCCTGCAGACAGCCGCGCTTCCGCATCATGGTCCCAGCACTCTTCAATTGTGACACACAACTGTGCCAAACCCTAAAAAAAAAAGGGGATCCAATAAGTATTTGCTATCAATATAATGTTTAACCTAAAATGTTCTTTTTACACAAGTCGGGCAGGTGTGTAAAAATAGAAGCAAAATAATATTGCTACCTATAGCAGCCAAAATCCACCTTTGCGAAGTTCCTCTCTGAAGCCTCTTCCCACACTGGTGCACCACTGATGGCTAAGGACATTCTCTAGTGAGGTCAAATAAAGCTCAAGACACTAGAGCTTTTCTTTCTCAACCATAACCTGGCAGAGTCATATGAGATGATTTATTGAGGGCAAATAGGCTAACTTCCATCATCCAAGCAAAGCAAAAAATAAATAAATAAATAAATATATATATATATATATATATATATATATATATATATATATATATATATATATATATATATATATATATATATATATATATATATATATATATATATATATATATATATATATATATATATATATATATATATATATATATATATATATATATATATATATATATATATATATATATATATATATATATATATATATATATATATATATATATATATATATATATATATATATATATATATATATATATATATATATATATATATATATATATATATATATATATATATATATATATATATATATATATATATATATATATATATATATATATATATATATATATATATATATATATATATATATATATATATATATATATATATATATATATATATATATATATATATATATATATATATATATATATATATATATATATATATATATATATATATATATATATATATATATATATATATATATATATATATATATATATATATATATATATATATATATATATATATATATATATATATATATATATATATATATATATATATATATATATATATATATATATATATATATATATATATATATATATATATATATATATATATATATATATATATATATATATATATATATATATATATTTTTTGCTTGTGATTGGGTATTCGTTGCAAAGTGAAATTTCACCACATTCACAGAGCTAAGGAAAACAATGCATGTAACAATTGATACAAGGCACAATTGTAATGTGCAAATTCCTTTGCAAAGTAAACAACCTATTTACCTAGTAAATCAACCCCTTAATGTTTATGCCTTGGTATCACTGTCAGCTCAGTACCAATGTAGACACTAGTAGAAAATATAAATGGTCAGGAACTCTGCTACATTATAAAACAGAGCTTATTAGAGCAATTGCTCATTTGAGAAACAGGTTGTCGCTGACCACTTCTTCAAAAAATGATTGTTGTCCGATTAATTCAGGCTCTCTTACTTTAACATGTTGGATCAAAAAATATGCAGATAATAATGTCTGACCTTTCTGATCTGTATACTCCAGGTCCATGCCAGTGACCAAGAAGGGACAGCATAAGAGCAAGGCAAATAGCATCCTAAGAAGGTGGTAAGCATTGGCAGCCTCCATATTTATCTTACGACAGGTCTACTTAAAGCTGGTCAGAAGCTCAAGCTAGCTCACAAGTAGACCAGTTCTTCTGGCATGCCAGAACTGCCCAATTGCCAATGCAGACAGATGTCCTCTATCAATGATCAAGTCAGCATTATCTCTACAACCAGGCCAAGTAGAGTACACATATTTCTTTGAAGTCAGTTTGTTCAACGCTCTATCACGCTTTGATCTCCATGACTAGTGGGGACTCGCTATACTTTTTCTTGGCCTGGGAACAGGAACTGGGGGTTATCCTCTTGGAAGACAACCGACGCAAATGCCTTTGCTTCACACACACGCTCTGTATGTCAACATATGCACAAGAGCGGAAATGTAAGTGGTTGACCAGGTGGTATAGGTCACCAGTTAGAATGCACCAAATCTGCCCAACGCACTCAGACACCTGATGGAGATGTCAAACTGAGCTAGGTACGCTGACCTACATTTGGTGGAGCTGCCCTCTGCTCCTGCCCTTTTGGCGAGCTGTCTCACACGTCTACTCACAAGTTACCTCTACTGAACTTACGCCTAAAATGGCTTTACTGTCCCCATCTTCCCGGGCTCTAAGGTGAAGAAATTCGTACTCCGATTTTTTTGTCAACGCCGCCCGAGCATTAATACCTAGGCATTGGAATTCCCGTTGTTCCTTCTGTTTCGGAATGGACAGCGGAATTATGTCAGCTGATGAGATCTGAGGAGTTAAGTGCAGAACAGGCTCTATGACCTGATACCTTTTTGGCCATACGGATGCCCTGGATTTTGTTCTTGGATTCTGAGGAGTACCAGTCTCTGCGGTGAGTTTCTCCTGTACCTCCGCTACCCCATTCCTACGGTGGTGTTTCCATGGGACGTCTGGCGGTGGCCCTTCCACGGACTGTAGTGGTGGGTGGACACTCCTCTCCCCCCGCCCCTCTTTTTTTCCCTTCTCTCCTTCAATCTTCTTTCTCCCTCTCCTTCTCTTCCTGTTTGTCTGCTGTAACGTGTTATTTTGCAGTGCCTTGGCCAACTATTTTCAGGGGTTACTCCTCTGCCAATTCTTTGCTCTATACCTTGTTGTGAACCCACCACCGGCCAACATGGGTCTTGGTGTGGTGGTACTATGACCTACTTGGTGGTGAGGACCTGTGCCCACCTCACTTAGTATTTTTTTTTTTATGGTATTATTATGAGCTTACAACATGGATGGTTTACATATTGTATGGCAAAGGATATTTCAGATACTTTGGAGACCAAGTCTGCATGTTGTGTATGCTTTATGTTTTTCTGTTATTTGTATATCTTGGAGCAGTTGTTTCTGTGAAACCCTTAATAAAAACAATTTCTGCTAAAATAGTAAGTCAGTTTGAAAAGAGAACAGAGGAAAGATGAAAAGAAAAAAAATCACATACTCTTCAGCTTCCTAGTTGAGTGAATGGCATTTGTAAATCCGAAAATGATACATCTAAAGCTGGCAGGGTGAGAATATTGTAAAGAAATAAAGTGAAGTGGCACTTACTGGATGTTTTAACCAGTGGTCTTTAAATACAGGGCGCATTTTCTTGTGCACCACTATTTCCTGTAAGTCTTCTAAAGATGGATGCTGACCAATCTCTTCTTCAAATGGTAACATATACTCATCAACAGGCCCTGGAGAAACCAAGTGGTAACATATAATCATCAACAGACCATGGAGAAACCCAGTATGCATGTTGTTGTTGATTAAAAAACTGTGAATTTTATTATGTACATATTCTTGTGGGATTGTCGTATCTCATCATTTATCGGTTTTACTTTATAATGTTATGACTGAAAGTAAGGCAATCCTCTTACAACACATGTATTAATGATTATCTGAAAGAATGTACAAGGAGCAACAGACACCGTAGTAAAATAAGGGACCAGTAGAAGAATCAAGAACTCGATCTCTAAGGAGGAAGCTAACTAAGAGGAGTCGTCTAGCCTTAAAGTTGAATTCTAGTCAGGTAAAAACAAATCATCTTATTGTTCACCCCTTCATCTGCTTTCAATAATTTTTTTTTTTTTTTTAAACTAAAAGTTTCTAAGACCCACATATACTTACCTTAAACTACCGTCCCATGACAGTCAGTCAGTCAATCTTGAGCACCAAAAAGTGAGTTGGTGGTACTGGCAGCACCCATGTCCCTTATTCTGATGAAGTGGATGCTGTCCATTTGTTTGCCAAATAGTCACTTAAATAGTTCTGCATTATTTACCATGCAGGTATAATGTCTTTGAAGTGAGGGGGAGGTGACAAGGTTGATCGGCAGCTTAGAGAGCGGTGTTTAGAGTGGCTTTACCTGAACGGTCTCAATAACCAGAATGGTAGATGATTACGAGGCCGAGGGTTAAGGTAAGTTTATGTAGATCTAATAATTATTATTACTATAGTTTGTCTGGGAGTGGGTAGAAGAATAAATCTTTTTCTTGCTATAGTACACCTTTAAAGCAATCATTTTCTTTGCCAAACTTTCTAGCTTATACCTCACTGATACAGAACAGTTCAAGAAAAACTCTGCTTGAGTCTTTCCCCATTTCTCCCCCGCAGGGTGCTATTTTGCCTTTTTCTCAGTATAAAGAAGATGAATCCATCCTGTCAATAACAGTCCATAAGCAAAGACACCTCTGCTCCTCCTCTGGCAGTCTTGAGTCACTGCTCTTTGAATACATTAAGGGCCTGGGAATGGTTAGAGATGGAGACTTAACTTCTGACAAAATGTGCATATACTGTACTTAAGGGCCATGTCACAGTAGCAACTCTGTAGCAGAGATCTGTAGCAACTACAAATGTCTCTGTTTTCTTTGGTTATCTGTAGCTGGGTATGCTGTTAACTACAATGCTTGATCACTGTGTTTCAAATCTCTTGGAATTTCTGCAAATCACACCTGTCATTGACTGAAGTACATATAGCAACAAAAACACAAAAGAGAACAATTCTGTAGCTTATACAGAATTGCCAGTGTGACGTGGACCTAACAGTACATTTTAGACTGCTTAGAGTGCATCTGAAAATAATTTGATTAAGGAATTCATGAAGCTACCACTATCTTTTACTTAGTTTGGTAACTGAGAGGTTCACGTTAAAGAATATTCCCTAAAAAAAATTTGAAATGAAAAATGTAACAAAAATCTAGATATAAGCATTAAACCACAAAATGTATGCCACAACATCCTGTAAGCAAATGTCACCTTAAGATATCTATATGGGGAGCCAAAGACTTACCATCAGCAGCTGTACATCTAGATGCAATCTCCCACAGGACAAGCCCCATGGCATACATGTCTATCCTGAGAAAGGCATCTCGCTGGAAGTTAATTGCTCCTTCTAGCACCTCAGGAGCCATATACCTCCTGGTTCCAACCTAGAAAAATAGGACAGTAAAAAATTGTCATCATATTGTATCGGAAATCCTTAGTAATACATTTAATACAAGCCAGTTTTAAAGCTTTCTTTTCCATCTTTGATGGTTTAGGGAAGGGTTAAAATACAGTTTTTCTTTTGTACTTTTGTGGATATTTCCCTTTATTTCCTGTGCTATAGGCACAACAGGCAGAGGAAATCTTCCCAATTTAGGAAATAACTTTAGACATTTTTCACTGAAACACATGGTTCCATTGGAAGATTTTGCATCTAAACCTGTTTCAGGGACAGGGACTCAAAATTGTTGATTTTCCATAATTTTCAGTGGTAACCAGGACAAAATAAAGCAAATCTCCCTGATGGGAACACAGACATCAATTAAACCTGGCAGGGGTTCTAGCCTCTCACCACCCTCGATACATATGTGAAAAGTGCTGTGATTTTGACATGCTAATGACCACCCTGTCAGGATGCTGCTCGTATTGTATCATACCCATATGCCAAGTTACTAGTTATTGTACTTAGCACAGTGTACAAATGTGATCAAACTCTTATATTCTACTGTAAAAGGAGAACCAAAGACTAACACAAACATGCATATAAGTTATAGATTGTATATTTCAAGTCCAAATAAGTTTTGGACTGAGTAACAAGTAGTTAAAACCCCTTTCAACTTTTGTTTGTGTACCACTGGGAAGATTTTCCTTCACTTTTCTTCTTGAGACACCTCTCCAAAGAAAGGGAAATCATACAGAGTTGTCACCAGAACAAGTGTCAAATCACATTAAGTGACAATGGTCACCAGGACACACAAAGTGTAAATCTCCCTGGTAAAAACCTGATGTGGTTGCAGCCTTTCATAATGTATCTGAAATAGAAAAATGGCTATACATACACTTTAAGAAATTAACAACAAATAGAATTAGGGACAATACTTGCCTGCCCATGAGTATCACCAGGAGGTTTTCCAGGTTCAAACCGTACAGCTAACCCGAAATCTGCCAAAATTGCTGTCAGGTCATGTTTCAACAATACGTTCTTACTTTTAAAATCTCTGTAGAGAGAGAGAAGAAAAAAAACCATAAGGGAAGTCAAGTATAACCTATATCAGACTCTAGGTGACCTTAACATCTCTTTGTCTGTGAAGGTTCTCATTCATCCAGGTCATGGTATATCTGTAAAAAAAAAAAAAGTAAAGGCAACTGGACTTGCTGTATTTTTCTTGTAAACGTTTCACTGGTCGTCCAAACAGCTTTCTCAATTCTGAAATGAGAAAGCTGGTTGGATGACCAGTGAAACGTCTTCAACAAAAATACAGCAAGTCCAGTTGCCTTGACTTATTTTTTTTTACAGACTTAACATCTCTTGTGTGTGGGGATGCTCTACTCCTTTGTGCTATCTAAGGTAGGGTTGAAATCCCCACCCATTGAGCAGAAAGCACTCATGAATCAGGACTGTTCTTGTGTCTGTGGATACTTGGGAATTATATTTTTCAATATTGATAACAGCAAGAGGCAGGTGACCAAGCAGCAGAAAAGGTGAATACCCCATGTCATGCTGTCAAAAAGGGTTTAGGGGCCAAGGCAGGAACAGCTTTAGTGGTAGGAAATAAAATGGACGTAATCATCTTAACTGTTGCAACTCGCCCTTAGAGGATAACTATATGTTTAAGACAATTTAGGATCAATTTACAGGTTTTAAAGTTATAGCGTATGGGTTATTTACTATTAACATTGTTACTTATGACAGTTACTACTAATACTTGTAGAAATACTATAGTCTGGAGGGAAAAAAAAAGACCAAGCTAAATCTTTGTAAATTGATCCTACTAGTTCATTAAATATTTCGATACCACCAAGCAATTTGTAATTACAACCCCTTTCTTTATTTTCCCTGCCTGTGCTTTAATAACTGTCACTACAAGCCCAAACACATGTTAACATTGCATTGTTTACATTCACCCTGTCTGGAGTCTGAACTAGTCAACAGTACAGTATAGAAAGCCGCTAAATGCTTGATCTAATTTCTTTACTGCGGGGTGCACTGCACTCATGTAATCACTTTAGTAACAAATCAAACTGCCAGAAGCAGGCTAACCCTGCATGTGTTTAACTATACCCATGTCATTCCCCCACCAACTGTGAAAAACACATCACACAACTAGAGCGACCCCTGATAAGTACTGGTCTCATGCATTCTAGTTTATAAAACGTACAGATCACAGGCTGAATGTAAATAAAGCAGCTTTTTTTTTATTGGCGCGGGCCTACAATGACACTTTTCAAAGCATAGATAAGGAAAAAGTTATATCTGCAATGATTTCAATGAGCGAATGTGGTTTACCAGTATAGTTATCCTTTCCTCACCACTAGACTCTACACATGAGTCCCATCATGAATTCAAAATGAAAACACCAGCTTCTGAATGGACAAAATCTGAATTAGCAAAGGTGCAGACTACTGACTACTGTCTTTTTGTTAGAAATCTCTAGCACATAATGATGAGCTAGAAGCAATTATTTTCTTCTGACACTGCAGCAGCACATGAGATACATTCCAGATCATTCAACTGCAGAGGAAATGGGGAATATGGAAGCTTCTTTTATGACCTGTTAAAGTACACCTATAAGAGAAATATGTGGTCTGCCATTGCCGTCTTCTTACATATAAAAGTTCTACTTCCTGCTTGTTACTTTTTCATCTTCTTTTACTGAAAGTTTAAAACAATGGACTTCTTGCAATTTCGAATGACATGACCCATATCCCCCAAGTAACCAAAGACCTTGCAACCTAGGTTGGCTAGACTTTAGGTCACATAAGGGAGCCTCTAATCAATAGTAATTTATATTATTAGAATAATAATGTGATTTGGTAATGCTCTTGTAAAGCTCACATACAGTATGCCTAATTGATTCAAGTGAATCATAGGTCTACTTTAAAGTGTATTTCCACTTTTGAAGCCACATTGGGATAACACCTACTTTATATTTGTTACTTGTTCCAATTCACATTGCATAAAAAAAAAGATAAAAAATGCTTCTTGCAGTTTAAATTGCCTTTACTTGCTAAAACTTTACTTCTTTGTAATGTTAGGTGGGGCTGTGAGGAATTTGGATTAACCCTGTCTGCATTTTTTTGATATGTTGTGTGAGTGGGAAGCATAGCAAACAAATAGAGAGGAACCCCATCAGAACTGTGCTGGTGCTTTCAAAGGGAAGGTCCACTTTCTCTTTGCCTCCTTGGCCAGAGATTTCACTATTTAAGCAACAAGCAGCACCAAGCAAACTGATCTACAACATAATTTGTCTATGGAAACAGATACAAGTCTTCTTTTGACAATCACTACAGTGCAGGGGACAGAAATCTGCTTTCTGATTAAGTGGACTAAGGTAGCCAATATCAAATCAAAAGTTTTGTCAATCATACCATGTGGACAGAGGTCTGAGGACTGATATAATATTCAGCTTAAGTTCTATCTTCACCAGGTCAGGTGGCAGGAGGTGGCAGCACAACCAATATCCAAAATAATACCTTATTCCCGTTTTAAATATACAGGTCAACATACTTCATGACGTTCCATAATACACATCCTTAAAAAGAAACTAAGCTCAGGAGTTAAACCTTAAAAATGCATTCAAGTACCTTAACTATTAAAACAAATTCATCATCTCTGAATTGGTGGTGACACAGTCCTTCCTTCTGGAGGGTGGCTACTTTTGTTCCCCATGGTCCCTGTGTATGTTGTAAAGTAGCCACTGCTCCAAGCTCACTCCTGTTGCACAAATAAGCTACATTATTGTTAATAAGGTACTTAAATGCATTTTTAAGATTTAACTCCTGAGTTTGTCACTTTAATTATGCCTGGTATAGACATTTAAAGCATCACAATATACCAGATTATTATGACCACCTGACGCTCGTAGGCAAATTAGCTATAATTTCGCTCTGAAGTTGCTCTAGGGCCAGACCATCATAGATAGGGAAGCAGGTTGTTTACCACGATAGTAGAAGTGATTTTTTTTCTGAAGATATGGGTAAACAACGCGATTTACCAGCCTTTGAACGTGGGATGATTGTTGGCGCTCGGAGCGAGTATCAGCAAAACAGCAGAATTCGTTAAATGTTCAAGATCAGCTGTTGTTAAAGTGTTTAAAGACTGGACTGTCAGACGAAAATCTGCGTCTGAACGTGCGAATTGTGGCCGCCAGCGACTAGTCAATGTTAGGGCAGAACGGAGAGTGGCAAGACTGGTACAAGACAACAGAAGGGCAAAAGTGCATCAAATTACTGCACATCTTAATCAGGGATCCTCTCAAATTATCTCTGAACGCACTGTTCGCCGTACGCTGCATCATAAGGGATATGGAAGCCAAAGGCCTGTTCGAACACCTTTGCTGTCTGCAGTAAACAAGATAAAACGTCTCCAATTCGCACACGAACACAAGGATTGGACAGTCGAGCATTGGAAAAAAGTAATGCGGTCCGATGAATAAAAGTAATTTACCGGCACACACTTGAAGGGTTTTTAAGTATTGATATGTTTATTCAATACCCAATGTCCCATACTGTCATACGGTGCTAACGTTTCGGGTCCACACAGGGATCCTTCATCTATTCATCAGGCATGGTGTCAGATTCCTCGCATCACCTTTCAACATCTCGTGGAGTCAATGCCAAGAAGAATCGCCGCAGTATTGAAGGCAAAAGGTGGCCCAACGAAGTACTGATGGGGTGGTCATAATAACCTGGCCACTCAGTGTATATCCTACATATACTAAAAGGGAAATATTAGCCCATTTTATCTAGTGACAGTGATTTGCATAAACTAATTAAAAACAAAAATAAATACGGTATGTTCCAAAGTGCACCATATAAATGTAAATATATTGCTCAATGTTGTTGACAGTTGTGACAGTCATGAGGATATTCACCTGCCCAGTACACACAATTATGCCTGTTCCTTTGGCCTGACAACTTGAAACAGGCTGGCCAGATAATCTTATCAAGAAAGTCTGGTTTGTGAGAAATGTGGTTATGCATCATCTCACATAATTGCAACGGATGGTCTGAACCATCCTCCATAAGCCCATTTAGCAGTGTTGAATGGTATGGCTTCAATTTCAAGGTATACCTACTTTTGGCCTACCCTGTATATTATATACCACCCTTAAATAAAGGATTATGTATTTGTGAACATTACTGTGATGGCTGTAGCCCTAAAACTATCCAATGTTTAGTGAAGAAAAATGTGAAACTAGGTGGAGAAAGTCAACAAAACCACCAACAAAACCAAATTACATAAACAGAATGGAATGGGCAGAGAAGTACAGCTAATTGTATAGCATTATATGCTTAATTCACAATTTGGTTGTAATTCTGGTTCTTTTGTTCTGTTAAAACACTCAACAGTCTACATTATTCCGGGTGTTTGTGTTGAATAATACATGGCTTTTTTTTAATATAAGATTTGCATATGTCAAGCCTTTCAGCTGTGTCCACATCTATTAACATATCTGCGAAGGCTTTACTGTATGCTTTTCATCTTTATAAATATGAATAGGTTGGCAAACAAGAAATGTAATTATTGGAATTTCACGATTCATTTCACTTAGTGCCAAGCACCAGTGACTTCCCGGAGTTAAAAAGTGAATCATTTTAATTGGCTCATTGGCTCGCATTTATAGTGGGATCCACGGTCTTTAAAGTTCCACACCGCCAAACATTTCATTGCTACCGTTACAGCATGGACTGTAAAGCTATAATTTAGTGCTTTTACGCTTTACATTTATGTAGTGCATGCAATAACTACAGTTATTTACAAAGAATATTGCATTATTCACATGATTCCCTGTCTACAAAGGAGCTTACAAGCATTACTTTGGAACAACTGGCTTGAATCAAGCAGTATTTATTTTTAGGACACACACACACAAATCAATCTGTGTCCTTAGGAAGTCCCTTGGACCAAGCTATAGACAAGCTTTTCACTTCTTTTAAAGTCGAAATTAACCCCCACCACCACCTCTCAGCCCACACCCTGACATTCAACTGTCAAAATGCCAGTACAGACTCTGAAATTCTGATCCTGAATGACTGGTGTGAGGCTCAGGACCAGGAGGGGGTATGGGTTGATTCGACTTGGTCATGTCAAGGTCTTGTGAATAGCTTTAGCCTAGAATTCAGGAGGCTCCTGATGGACTGACAATCAGATTTACTTTGGTGTCTGCACTTCAACAGTTCTTTTATCTTTGGTATGGTTTGGGCCAGGTTGGGTTCACTTTAAGAATCTGAGAATGGCAAAATGGAATGTGTCTTTCCAGAGTGGTAGAGCAGTAGAGTGCTGGCATAGCAATTTAGTGCTCAGAATCAATCTTATACAAATCTGACCTCTGCAAATGAAACCTGATTCTGGCAGCGATCGGTTAATGCACTTTAGATATAGCCCTTTGCTCCTTGAACTATTTATTGACTGAGTGCTATTTCTATTGTTTCCCATGCCCTTCCACTTTGATTTAAATCATCCAAACAGCACAAAAGGAGGAGGGGTGCGAAGAAACTATTTCAGATAGGAATACAACACCAGACTCTGATACGTGACAAACAGGAAGCAGTTTAGGTGACTGTATTGCTCCTGCAGAAAGCCATGAAATAGAAGAAGCATCTCATATGCCACATAACTCTTTGGTAGTGAGCATATTATTCAGAGAAAATCAGTTCACCCAGCTTGAGACTGGCTCCATCTGCACTGGCAAAGCCATTACCGAGGAGACGTCAGCACATTTATATTTTGGATAATGGGTAGGCTGCAGCGTGAAACGGCAACTCTCCCTGCTGTGAGTTGTCCACGCTGTCTCCTTAGAAGACTCCTGGCATGCGTAAATGAGAAACACATTTCTTTCACTTACATGGCGCAAGAATGCATCTTAAAGAAAACTTAGAATCATCATTCAGGTCCTGACTAAGAAATAACAGGCTAAGTGTTAGGAGCATCTTGTCATTAGCGTGGACTGCACATATTAACAGAATTGATGTCACCAGTTGGAAATAAAACAGACATTCAGTATCAATCAGGTAACCTGGAGACCACACAAAGAATCTGGAATTATGACCACTAACAAGCCTAAAATGGACATGAGAGATGCCTCGCAGCAGATAAGAGTCTCAGTTGATGAGTTTTTGTTTTTTTTTTATGTCAAGAAAGTTTTCTCCTTAAAATATTCAATTTACAACCAAAAAATCGCTAGGGTATGGAGTCCGTATTTTTATTCCGGCTTCATGTTAAGCCAGAATATAGCTGCTAAAAGCCTTATTTTCTTTTGAATTATTTTATATCACAAAGCATTATTTTATCATTATGATCATAATAATCATTATTTTATCACTACTTCAAATTATGATTCACATGACACATACCACTAAAGCACACATTTAAACCATCTTGCAACTAGCAGTATTTTATTGAGCGATCATTTTATGTGAACTGACGCTCAAAACAACACTCCAAAATCGTTAAAACGCAAGCCATAAATTCAGCCGATTCATGCGGTATGGACTTTTGTGAATTATAAAATCTATTTCCAATTACAAAAAAAGCAAATAATGAATGGAGTTGGAAATACTTCATACATTATGCTTTTAGGCATAAAGAACACACGTCTAGTGTCTTATATATATACACAGCTATATATTTGTCTGATTGCATATCTATTTGTTTTACTTTTTACTTTAATTGGGCTTTAAAGATCGGAATATGTTAGGTGCCTGTAATGGATTTGTTAGGATGGGTCCACTTGTATGACAACTGCCATTTACTTAAAGTGTATCTAAATCCAAAGACAAGTAATTTAATTATTATTTTTTTTTAAATATTTATTGCAGCTTACCGGTACTTAAAGGGTTATTAAACCCTCAGCAATTTTTGCATATATCTACTACTAGCAAGCAGTAGATATATGCAAAAACATATTTTTTTAAAACAACCTTTTAAAAATGGGTTAAAACTTACATGCGTCTCCGCTGCATGCTCCCGTCCGAACATCTGAAGAGTCTCGGGCGGCCGCAAAGGATCTTGGGGCGGGCGCATGCGCACTTCAGAAGTTCGGCCGGGAGACGAGGAGAGACACAAGGTAAGTCTATGGAGCAGTGCGCACCCGCACAGACATCATGGAGGAGAGGAGGACAGAGGAGTCAGCGCTGGATCAGAGACCTGCACCAGCGATGGAGGGACAGCTGAAGAGGACAGGAAAGAAGATAATCGAATCAAGAGGCATCATTTAAGGTAAGTCCTTAGAGCAGGATTGGGAAGGGGGAAAAAAAAAATTCTGACTTTAATGTTACTTTAAGAGGTGGTGCTTGCATTAGTTTGCTTTTTTTAGGCCGCATTCACATTTGCTATGTACAAAAATGCGCAACACGCTTTGGCGTGTTTGTTGCGTGTCAGCAAAGCACAGTCCATTAATTTCAATAGGCTGCCATACTGACAACAAATGAGGCAAAGAAGCTCAAGCAGAAGTTTGAGCTGAAAGCTTAGGGTGTTTTTTGACCATGTATCTTGCTTGCTGCATTTGGGGTGCCATAACTAATAACGGCACAGCAAAAGCGACATTCGCTTTTCACGCATCACATGAATAAGACCCTCCAGTGTTAATGGGGCCTCAAGGTGTTTTAATAATGCTTTTGTTATGCTTATTTTGCATTATAAAAACAAACTCCCTCTACATAAAAGCTGAACATCGATGCAACATGCCCCAGCTTGGATTTACTTTATGCACTCATACATTTGACTTCTCCTCCTACCCCCTCAAAACTTGACTTGTGCCAGGTTTGGAACTGCCGTTAACCATGGCCCCCAAATGTTTTCAAACCCATTAGGTCATGCCCTTCTGGAGACCATGCCAATATCACACTACATGTCCTAGGGTGACAACGCCCACTCTCCATACTCCTCCAATTATAAAGGAGCAGCATTGTCACCCAAGGCGTCTATTCTAAATTGGACTACAAACATCTCTCCATATCTCTATTACAAAGGGGGTAGTGTTTTGTAGTGCACAGAAGATAGATGGAAAGACTGATTTGAGATTTCAAGTCAGTGCATTGGAAGGTACAAGGACACAAGATTTCGGAGAGGACCAACAGGTATTTTCCTGCACTTGCAGAAAATGTACTTAGCCCGAAAAAATGAAAACGAATGCAGCCGCCACATCTAAGAAATGGTATGCTGCAATATACTACATTTTTGTAATATATTGAAAACAAGTTGTCTTTATATACACTTTGATTCTCAACTCCTTTAATACATTAAACAATGTGTACAAACCAGGCTGCCTCTCATTAGACAGCAGGTCAGTATGTGCTTACAACCCCTACACTTTAAGTTCTGGACACCCAATCGAGATAGTAAATCTACTGCAGGTTTGTTCAAAACCAACAGCTTCTTGTTTTAAACATTCCCATGCAAGAAGTAGTCAAGGGCTTTTTACTACCTCTAAAGGTTTAGACCCGATTCACATAGGTCTTTAGGCTGCAGCTGGGGATTCCTGCCGCAGGAGTGACAGTTGTGTCTATAAGCATTGCGGCCGCTGTGCCCATTCAAGCGAATTGAAGGCTAATGGAGGTAATCATACATGGGTGATTGTCCTTCGATCCAGTCTGCCTGCGGACAGCCACCAAAAGCACCGCCAGCTGTCAGCCTGTCATTCACTTGAACAGGCACAAAGACTGCATCTGTATGGACATACTTAGGATTCCTGCCACAAGTATACGTAGGTTCTTACACCAGGAATCCCCAGGTGCAACCTTAAGCCCTATGCGAATGTAGACTTGGGATGGAAACAAGGATCACTAGCCTGCTGTCATAGTGTGGTAAGGGAATAAAAGCAGTGTGTCCTACCAGCTTTCCAGGGCTACCTCGCTTTCACAGAATAAAGAGCCACTGCAGCTAGTCATGGCTTTCCAGCACAGGTTATTGGCTGTCAGCCATGGCTAATTAGAAACACCAGTGCAATCTGCGGGAGACCTTTGCTGTGAAAATCATGCACAGGAGAGACCCTGGCTTTCACTGTTAAGGTGCCCATACACTGCTCGATTCTCGTACGAGAATCGCGGGAAATCCTGTGATCGTACGAGAATCGAGCAGTGTGAGCGAAGACGCGCGACTGTTTCTACTGTACGGTCGCACGTCTTTTGTCGAACCAGCATGCTCGATAACCCATTGAGAATCGTACTATTGTCGGCGGGTTTCTAGCCTGCTCGTTCGACAGCTGCGGAGCGGGCCGGTGTGCGCACGCGCACACTGCCCCTTCTGCATTGCGGTCATCGGAAGCCCGCCCCTCAGCGGGGCAGGCTTTCGATGATCGCAAGTACAATCTGCCTGTCCAAGATGGGCAGATCGTACGAGCTTTTAATAAGCTTACGACCATCGCAAGACAAAAGTCTTGCGATGGTCGTAAGGTGTATGGGCACCTTTAGGCTGGGCACACACCTTACAACCATCGCAAGACTTTTGTGATCGCAAGCCCACCCGCTGAGGGGCGGGTTTTCCGATGACCGCAATGCCGAACGGGCAGTGTACACCGGCCCGTCCAGCTTTTATCTTACGAACATGCTACACACCGATTCTCGGCGGGTTTTCGAACATGTTCATAACATAAAAGTAGCGCGACCTTACAGTAGTAGAGGTCGCACGGCTTCCACACACCTTACGATAATCGTACAATTACGGGATTTCCCTCGATTATCGCAAGGTGTGTGGGCACCTTTATTGTGCTTGTGGCTCCTTATAACATCTGGTGAATCTAGCACAAGGGATGTATCTGCAGAAATGGTGTGGACTTCCTAAATAAGGAATTTTCATTTTGGAAATTTTCATTTATTTTTATGGACCATAAGATGGATCTCTTTGGAGAAAGCCATATACGATCCATGTTGACTTATTTCAAGAGGTAGATATTATGATACACAATTCGCTTGTACCTGTGAGCAATTGCTGGCTTGTGCCCTTCGCCTTTACAGCGAGGCACGTCTTCATGAAGGTACGCCAACCCTCGTGCCATGGACTCTGCAATGTGGCACAGTTCGTTCCAGTTTATGATGTTTCCTTTTAGATAGTCTGTCAGAGAGCCCTAGAGCAGAAACACAATGGGAAGCAAGATAATATTTAAAGACTAGACATTTTAATGAACACAACCCAGGAAGTGCAATTATCTGTAACTTGGGAAAACATGAGAAGCCCTCCATTCAATCGCTTCCCGGCAGAAAATGGGACTGGAATATTTATGTGGCCACTAGGTGTCATAAGTACTGCTACAATCTTCTTGCGGTGTTTTGAAGAAATCTCATGTCACTTTTCGGAAGTAGTACCATATAAATTTATAAATCCAAAAGGGAATAGAGACGAAATATGGAGGTGCTTGGGCAGATCATAAAAGGGGGGAATTTTTAGTTTTTAAACTGAAAGGCCAATATTAGTTTATGAAAGTAATGTATTTTTTATTGAGTGCAGAATCACCATCCCTGTTTCAGGTATATCCAATTATGAAGCAGGATTTTGAGACGCGTTTCTCAGAGTTGATGTGTTCATTGCTATTGTTCTGCAGTCCGCCAGTGCCTGTGTGTTCACTGCTATACATTAAACATGTGCAGCGTCTCATGGGAGAAAAGAGGTAAGGCTACCTTAGGAGTGCGTTTTATTAAAGTACAGCTGCACATAAACAAAAGTTTGTTCATTCAGCTAATGATCATTCATAGTTACTCATCACAGAATTGATGAGGTTAATAAAATGTATAAACAGCATAGCTGATCTTATTCTGTTTCCACTTGTGCGTGCCTCACAGGCTGTAGATTTGAGTTAGCATTTCTCATAGGGAATTCACTGTTCATCAATTCAATCAATCAAATGTAAATACTCTTCTCAGCATATGTTAATGTCTAAGGGGGAAAAAAAAAAGCTTTGTTTCATATCTATAGTGTCTAGCTGCACGTGTAGAAAAAGACTGAAATGTTAGCTCATTACATATGTGTAAACTTGGCCATGCACCTATAGATTTTCTGCAAATTTTCTATGGTCAGATAGAAAAACTTCTACAGATTCCACCATCTACACTACACTGTGTGGATGGAGGAATCTTCCGCTGGGCCAAGCTTCAGTATCTTGCTTGTTGGCCCCACTGGCTCTCAAAATACCTGAACAATTGCATCCTATCAGATTATTCAGGTATTTTGAGAGCCAGCGGGGCTGACTAGCAAGATACTGAAGCTTGGCCCAGTGAGAGATTCCTCCATCCATGCAGTTCAGCATAGATGGAGGAATCTGTTACACTTTTTCCATCTGACCACAGAAAATCTGCCAATAATCTATAGGTGTATGGCCAACTTTAGAAGTGCTTTATTGTGATTATTGGTCCTTCTATCAGTCTGTAGCTTATTCTGTAATCTCAGCAGTTGGAGAACATGATAAAAAAAAAAGCCAATGGTGAGAAAATCTACAAACACGATCACAAATATTTGGAAAAGCAAGCAAGTACAAATGTGAGTTATATAAAAAATGACTTTCAGATAAACATTGGAATAATAACTCCAAATGCCTCCTACACATCTTTCTGAACCCTGTCAGTTAATGTGAACTAGAATGATAAGGTCAGGATTAAGTGGAATTTGAAGTGCAACTTGTTGAGGGGCAATTCAAATGACAACTATGATGTAGTTAACAGTGGGACAACAGTGTTCATTTTGCAGTAAAATCACGCATCAGAGTTGTTGCTCTGTGCACAGTATATTCTCAGATGGAAATGTCATTTTAAATAGCCTTTAATAAGCAGCAAATTGAAGGCCAGAAAAAAAGTTGAAACCTTTAGAACAAAAGTGGATAGTTATAAGCACCCCTATCAGTGTTATATGGTTTGCAACAACCCCTCTAACTGCCACTTAACTAGACAGCTTGGCCTGCTAAAGGAAGTGGAAAAGGAACCAATCTCCTGACAGGATCAATTATGTTACGGGGTGACCCACAAAACCAAAATATGTTGTTTGCATGACAACAAAAAAACATGACAAGATTACAACAAATTCGCCATTCTTAATTTTGCTCGTAGTTCCACTTTTCACGAAAAATGTAAAGAACTTTTCTTGGAAGGTGATAATAGAGGTACATCCCAACATCAAAGAACTGTGGTTTGACCAAAAAAGTGTGTACATTTTAAACCAGCCTGCCTAAATTAGGATTAAAAAGGTTTAAAAAAGAAACCTCTACTAATAATAACCGAGTAAATACCAGTGATGAATTTTGTCAGTAGTTTTCATTATGTCCCCCCCAATGATACATACTGTCAAACATTTACCAGCAGGTGACTGGTCTAACGGGATTCTACCTTTTCATGGAAAGAAGTGATTAGCCACAGTTCCATTTCCAGGTTTGCTCCTCTCTTCTCGGCTGCAATAAATTGCAAGAGGTTTTCATGTTTCATGCCTGGGGTGTTAAAGATTTCTCGCTCACTCTGCCAGGACTGCTTTTCCTATAAAAGAAAAACAAAATTTAAATATATCTGGAAGAAAGCATAGTGAACACAATGCATAAGCTGTTGTCAATGTGATAGTGAATAATGGCAGCCAAGGACAGGGAAAATAGATGATCTCCCAGACAATTCCACTTGCATGGTTCTTGGTCACAGCACTTTCCTACACTAATCCACATGTAGAAGTCAGCAGCACGCCAGGATCTCCAACATAACATTTAACAAACTGAGCTTACACATTTAGGATGCTTATGCATAGAAGTTTTAGGATGCTGGTTTGCTGCTTTTATTCCCTTTTTTATTGAGAAAAATCCTACAGTCCTCAAAGATAAACAATGCACAAAGCTTTTTTTGTGGTGTTTTTGTTAAGTGCAATCATATGGCTTTTATATTGGTATGAGATGAAAGTAATGGAAGCAGGGACATGACTTTTACCCAACAATCAAGCAAGATTTTGCTGCAGAGAATATCAGCAGAGCACCATCTTATTTCAAAAGTGGGTTATGGGGTGATCTAGATCTAAAATGTCCTAACATCCATGTAAGTGAAAGATCACTTTTAAAAGTAAATGGTTTTTAAAAACCAGACTAACATTAAATACCGGTTGGCAGCCACACACCAAACTGACGCTCCCACCTTAAAAGAAATAAAGCCATTTACCCATGTACTCCCGTGTCCCAAAGTCAGCATATAGTGTGCTACAGAACACTATATATTGACAGTGCAAAGTCACGCTTCAGTGAGGAAGGATTGCAACAATATTGTCGGGATCCTCCCGGCTGCCTGATTGACAGCTGGCCCTGCCTCGCCAGAGCCAGCTGTGCCCGCCCCTTCCACTGTCTGTTCCTCCAATGAGTGCTCAGCTCTTGGTATACACAGGGAGCATGGGACAACTGCAGTGTCTCACGCTGGCTCCATTTATTGGGAAGAGTATCTCTATCTTCCAATACTTTTGCTTTAACAGTCCTGCACACCCCTAAACCACTAATGGAGCCCGATAGAAAACCCCTAAACCCACTTAACATGCTTGGGCCTGGCGACAGATTGATCAGGCATAGACCATTGCAATACAAGAAGCAAGCGGGATTGTGCATGTGTGTTCTGGTTTTAATGATTGATGGGAAGGAGGTGGTAGAGGGAAGAGCAAGAATCTTAGGGTCTACTATATGGTGTCAATGTTGATTTGCTTTTTATTAAGCTATTATGCCTTCTTTTTGTAGTTACTGGTTCGATAACAGCACATTACACTGCAAACTTCTTCAGCACTTAGCTTTCAAAATATTGTCAGCATTAGAACACGATCTTGACTTAATGAGTGTAAGCCCAATCAAGCTTTTCTCTGGCTACAAAGATAGGGTTTGTATACTTCTCAATAATTATTCTTGTAACCATTTTTTTTTTTATATATATTTTTTTTCTTAGCTCTTGGAAAAGCTTTTAGCAAGTGGAGAAAATTAGGTTCCTACCCAAATTTCCATTGCTGTTATTTTATTTTACGTAGAACTAGAAAACCTTACAAAAGGAATCAATGGTGAATTTTCCTGATCAGAATGCGAATGAGCCCTCGGCACAGAACGGTGTACAATGAGAGTGCTCGATTACTGATTTACAAGGCACTGCCAGCTTTCACCTCCTCTGTGTGTGCTGGTGAGGAGCCAAGTGTGGGTCACAGCTTAGCCTGTACAGTGTTTAGCACACACAATGCCATGAACGGGAGACTCCAATTTTAATGGTAATGAAAGCAGAAAAATCAAGTGATTTTTCTTCAAATTAGCGTATCCCTTATGCCTCTCGAATTTTTGGCTAGTAATGTCATGCAGGCAAAACAATGTACATTTAAAAGGCTATTTGTCTAATTATGTCACAATGTGTCCATGTCCGGTAATCTGCATTAAAGCAAAAGCAAGATATTAAGAGCCATATGTATGACAGTTGGAAAAAAAAAGGAGTATTATCCTTGTTACTTTAGCTAAAGGACATGTATTTATTTGGAACATCTCACACCCTTTAAGACAACACACACCATGGTTAGCTCTAGAACTAAGGTCTCATTCAGATGGGCAGCAGTCTCCATCACCCTCTGAAAAGGGTTCTACAGTGGATCGCTTTTCAGAACGTAGTGGATCAGTGGCTGCCCGGCGTTCAAGAAGTACTTCAAGAGATACTGCCACCTCCTGAATGCAAGTTTTTTTTTTCTTTAATAAGATCAGTAGAAATTACAATTCAAAATAGCACACCGTGACCGTGTACTGACGCGATTGCAATGCGGCCCTATTCAATCAGCAGTGCTACCATTGCAATGGGTGGCTGGGGAGGGCAGTGAAACTGTTCAACAACTGCAAGCATCACAAAGACAAGGTTTTCTGACAAAAAAACATTAGTTTTACGCAACGACATTCTATTAGAGCTGCATAAGAAATTCTAAACTTTAAGACATTGTACACACAGGCTTCACACTGTTTACACCATTATGAACGCAAGCAACAGCGGCAGCCAATGCGAAACAAAGCATTTGCAAAGCTTTCAGACAGCTTTGTTGAAGTTTTTAAAGCAAACTTCTGCACCAATTTCAATGAGAGTGCCAGTTTTCCCTTTAAAGCAACTGCTGTCAAGGCTTTGGTAAGTCTCTGCATTATCTAAATGTTCACTAAAGCCTGCCGAAATCTGCAAGCTGCTTGTTTAAAAGGGACAGCAAGTCCCATCTAGATCCGTCTTTAACTCTGCCCCCGGCTATATCTCAAACATTGTCTCAAAGTATCACCCTAGCCGTCCCCTACACTCTTCAAAAGACCTTCTGCTTTCCAGCTCCCTCGTCAACTCCTCCCATGCTCGCCTCCAGGACTTCACTAGTCTCTCCCATCCTCTGGAACTCTTTACCCCAACCTGTCCGTCTGTCTGCCACTCTGACTGCCTTTAGGCGATCCCTTAAGACTCATCTCTTCAGGGAAGCCTATCCCGCCTCAACCTAACCGCTCAACCATCACATTCTCACACAATTCATTCCCACACAGCTACCTCCTCATGTATCACTTGCCCCTCCCTTTTAGATTGTAAGCCCTCAGGGACAGGGCCCTCCTTACCATCTTGTCTTGTGATTGTAATGTCTTCCTAATATTATAAAGTGCTGCACAAACTGTTGGCGCTATATAAACCCTGCATAATAATAATAACATCCTTAAATTGGGGCTGGAGGTTGCTTTAAAATTGTCTGATGCTTGCTTGCGGTGCACACTGGTTTTAAACAAGCTGAAACCTTTAAGTACAAAGCCTAACTGCCTGTTCAATTGCCCCCTCCAACTTGGTACAGCATTACTGAGAAGTTCTGAGAACAAATTCTGCCCATAAGGCCCTGTAAACTGCATTGCAGATAGCAGCTGCGACATTTGCTAACCTAACCTGTTGCCGATAGGCTGCTTTCTACCACAATTTTTTGCTGATTTGTTTTGACTGAAAGGATTTTCTGTTTGCAACCAAACTCATGCCTGAATCCCAGATCATAACATCATCACAGCAACCACATGAACGCCTTATTTCATTAGACAAAGGGTCGTCCCTATAATGAGGCAGCTTGAGGTGGCTTCTCATCAGGTCACGTGGGGGAGAGCGTCCCAGGTTGCTAAGAGCTCTTAGCAACCTGTGATGCTCTGGCTGGCATCCCGCCAACCTCACTTTCATCACCAGGTTGCCAGGAAATGACAACGGTCTGGCTGGTGTCTAGCCCATTAGCTGAAACAATGCATGCTAGTGGTTAGGCAAGTGTGTTGTGGCAGCTCCGGCAGTTTGTGTTGCATTGCACACTGTCAGAGGTATCACTGTTTACTTTTTGTGTACAATGTGCACACTCCATTCAGGTGATACGCTGAAATGCTGTGCATTGACCTGCATTGGCATCCAGTGCGCTATGAACAAAATGCAGCACGTTTGCATTTTTTCACCACCCATTACACACCCATTCTGGTGTAAATGGGACACACAGAAAACAATTGTTTCCTATGTGTCCTAGTGGTGACCTGCGTTGATCCGGTGCAGTAAAATGAAGGTCACCAATATATCTGTGAACGAGCCCTAAATGTGTCTTTCAATGTATATTAGTATTTGTTCCTCCTTATTCTCGCTTACGAAACAGGACTTCTTCTTTATCAAATCCCAAAAGAAAATGTAGTCCATGCAAAATCTATCATGAAAACAATCCACAAAACAATTTCAAGACTTTAACCAAAGTACTAGCTACATAATTATGTATATAATGCTGATGCAGCATAACAATTCTACATTTTAGGATAATCTTTATGTGGAATAAAGAACAGCAGAAGCAGAAAG